TTCATCACGAACTGACATCAGATATAATGCCAAAAATTTATTTAGCCAAAAGGATGAAAGGCTTTCGCGCCGAAATGTGAGATCTGTTATCTTATACCTGATGGATTCGTCCACAAAGTATAGTCTCGCCGTTTTATTTGATATAGCCGATCAATTATCACGTTTTGTATAAAATCCCCTATGAACCAATCGTACGTTACCATTAAGTGCTAAAATTGGCGCTGAGACTCGTCCATAAATTAGAGTCGCCCGAAACTCTACTTAAATCATCTACCTGAGTTACAATTCTATTTTCCTGTGAAACATCAGTCATAAAGTTCAGTATTTTAATGTCTGAAGTTAATATCTCATTAAATAATAAATACATGATATATCTTCATCCTACCAGTTACTTCGATAGCTAATGATGAAAAAATAATTCTGGAATAAGATTAATGATTTAGATGAAATTAAAATTTAATTTTATACCCTATTTATGATATCCAGAATAACTTCTGAAAGAAACTCGAGCAACATTTCATCATAGTTGAAGAACCTATGGGACTCAGCACAATCAATTTCAAAATGAGAATCTTGAATACGAACATCAAGACATTTCTACTGTACTGAGCTGAAACTTGAAGAACTACGATTATCAGAAAAGTAAGGATATTAACAAATAGCTATATACATTGGACACTCCAGACCCGTTGACCTAGAATTGTCAGCAACAACCTACTGTGGAAGAGAATCGTTGTACATTGGATAACCTACTAGTTAAGTTTCTGGCTGTTATAGGGGTTTCAAACATACCGAGTGCATCACACACAAGAATACAGATCTGCCTTGCTGATGAGTGACAGCCGGGAGGGAACTCAAACATAAGGCGTTCTGCAGATAAGATATTTGTCACCAAAAATCTGTTGCGATATGATCAAACAAGGACAACTGCATCAGCAGAGATGGATGGTCGCTAGCAGTGGCATCCAGGACGCGCGTTTCGTCCTATTCGGAACTCGTCAGCTGGATGTACCTGAACTCCAGAGTTGATGTTTACTCCACGACTTGAAAAGCAATTGCAGTCGTCAATATCAATAGGAGAATTTAAAAAGCCAATACATTTATAGTTCTAACTGGATTTTAATTAAAATTAAAGATGACGGAACAAAATTATAAATTGTCTTCAGAATGATTTCTTCAAAACTTTTAAATTTCAAACATAACATTTGAATTTATGTTATATATATGGTTTCACTAATTAGCAACATCCATCTCCAATCTTGAATAGTCTAATATCTCTTAGAAAACAAGAACCACCGGTAAAAGTAAGATACACTGAAGGCTTTGAGTCAATCAATCGAAACTAAGAGAGATTCCCAATTATTTTAATCAATGTTTCAAGTACAGTAATCGATAACGTGTATGTTACTATTCATCAAATGAAAATTGGCAACATTTGATTTCTAAAATGTTTGGAAACAATGAAAATGTCTAATACGCAACGATAATGAATGTTATATGATGACACAATATCTCCTAAAACAGATCGTAAGTCAAGGTACTTAACACAATTTATTGCACAATCAAGTGTAGCCTCCGAAATGTCGTGGTGTGGTCGAGGGTGGGGAGAGTCCACTCTCCTTCCTCCAAACGCTCTCATCACATGGCCACACGTATACAGCCACTGACAGGAAATTCCTACTCACTGTCTTCTCGTGGTGGGGGTGTTGTTTGAGAAATTGAGAGGACAAAAAGCGAATGTCTAGTGCTTTAACCAGGTCGGTTGACACGGAGAGTCCACCTATGTGAGTTGGAAAACTCTGATTCTAAACCAATGATACACATGGACTCGAGTATCCTGAAACATCAAATGGAGTATGAACCAATCGATGGTCACCGACTACCATGGGACTGCATCTCCTAAGATTGTTCCACTGACTTGTAGATCAGACGTTTAGATTGAAAGTTTTATATGTGGAATCCGAAGAAAACCACCTAGTTCGGTCTGGGTACCCGAGTAGTATCCCAGCCCTCACACAAATCGAATGACGAAGTGTGGCGTATATCAATTTGATGCTTCCTTCTACTAATATTTGTGTTCAAATAAATAATAAAATAAATAACAAGTGTTTAGTGAAGCTACATAATGTGCTCACTTCGTTACTCTCACCCAAAATCTTAACATCGACTTTCTCAAGTTTGTAAATAGGATGATGGCAAGTCATCGCTTTATAATCCTGAATCAGAATATTAGCTCAACTCTTAATGTATACGTATATGTCCTGATTAGTTGATAAGTTGATCAAAGTCATCAGTATGTTATACTATTACTGAACCATTAAAGTTCATCACATTAATAAAAGAAAGTACAATCAGTGGTGTAGACAACAAACAAAAAAATTCATTACATATTTTCTCTCTTTAAAAACTCATAAACATTGTAGTGTGTTGTCGTTATTTATCCAAATGATTGTAGTATATAAACTGACTACCAAAATTTATTCTATATGAAATACTAGAAAGAGTAAATTATATATTTGTAATATTCAAATCAGTAAAACAAAATTAGATATTCTGATGTTTCGTCACTTAGTGTGAGCCACTTCTTTAAAGAACTCATATTGATTATTTGTTCGTTAAAGAGGTCAGTCAGTCAATAACAACGCAGAACTTCGTACGTACGTATATCAGTTCGAGTTGCCGTACCACATTAGCACAAAGACACATTTGTCGATTTAAATCCCGTTGTAGAAGAGGTAGTTAGAGTATAAACAGTAATCAGAAGAAGTGACTTACACTGAGTGACGAAACGTCAGAAAATCTAATATTTCTACTCATTGGAATATCTACAAATAGATTTATTTATTTATAACAATCTATCCAATGCTCTATTTATTTGAAATTATCAAGTGAAACTTTGGTAATGATGTCCAGAAAGAGTAAAGTTTATAATGACTAGATAGTTTAAATTCTAAAGAGTGTAGATTCTTATGGATTAACCCCACAATAAATTAACATAAGTATAGAATTTCCTCTTAGATTATTCTTTAACCATTCAACAATAAATATAGTCAAGCTTATAAAACATAATAAACTTCAAAAAACTTTTGTTTGAGAAGGAAATAAAACAAACACATTGAGATGGTGGAGAAGATTTGTAGCCTGGCACTCAGGTCAATCAGCAATCAACAAACATATTGAAATCAATCCAATTTATCAACCAATCAGGAAAATCATGCATATATATAAGAACAAAAATCAAAACAATGGGAGACACAACCAAAACAAAGAAGTGAACAATGATAAATTTAAGGTCAACAAGAACCAATCAACATCGAGGTGCACAGAACAAGCTGTGAAACACAGAAGGAGAAAATCGAACACTTCACTTCTATCTGAAGTTTGTGCTGATGATGTCGTTCAGAAGAACGATGAAAGCTCCACGACCAAACCATCCAGCTCAGAGAACAAAACTCCATCAAAAACAAACACATTGATTTGGTGTTGTTTACTTGAATCTTTCCACTCATGTCTAGAACTATAATTGATCAGTCTCTCATCGGCATATACGCATTATATTTATTTATTTGAACACATAAATATTAGTACAAGGAAGCATCAAATTGATATACGCCACACTTCGTCATTCGATTTGTGTGAGGGTTGGGATACTACTCGGGTACCCAGACCGAACTAGGTGGTTTTCTTCGGATTCCACATATAAAACTTTCAATCTAAACGTCTGATCTACAAGTCAGTGGAACAATCTTAGGAGATGCAGTCCCATGGTAGTCGGTGACCATCGATTGGTTCATACTCCATTTGATGTTTCAGGATACTCGAGTCCATGTGTATCATTGGTTTGGAATCAGAGTTTTCCAACTCACATAGGTGGACTCTCCGTGTCAACCGACCTGGTTAAAGCACTAGACATTCGCTTTTTGTCCTCTCAATTTCTCAAACAACACCCCCACCACGAGAAGACAGTGAGTAGGAATTTCCTGTCAGTGGCTGTATACGTGTGGCCATGTGATGAGAGCGTTTGGAGGAAGGAGAGTGGACTCTCCCCACCCTCGACCACAACACGACATTTCGGAGGCTACACTTGATTGTGCAATAAATTGTGTTAAGTACCTTGACTTACGATCTATTTTAGGAGATATTATGTCATGTAATTTAATTTAAGCATTATACAACATTCATTATCGTTGCGTATTAGACATTTTCATTGTTTCCAAACATTTTACAAACCAAATACTGCCAATTTTCATTGGATTAATAGTAACATACACGTTATCGATTACTGTACTTGAAAAATTGATTAAAATAATTGGGAATCTCTCTTAGTTTCGATTGATTGACTCAAAGCCTTTAGTATTATCTTACTTTTACCAATGAGTAGAACTTCCCTATCAATGGTTGTATACATATGAGAGGATTTTAAAGAGGAAGAGTTAACTCTCCACCTTCTCGGCTATACCAGGATATTTTTATGGATCATATGCATACTGTACATAATACCTTCAATATAATTCAATTCATAACTCGATCTAATCTAAACTATAAATAGATCAATTGTTAAGATCATGAGTCAATTGATGCTAGATCTCCATGGAACACCTGGAACCTTCTTCTGATATAAATAGATCATTATATATATTATTATTATTATTATTATTTTAACACATAGATATTGATACAAAATATTGGTACCAAATACATATGCGTCACACAAATCTCATTCGATATGTGTGAGGGTTGTGATACTGCCTGGGTGCCCAAACCGAAACAGGTGGTTATTTTAGGGGGGCCACACTCAGAGCCTTCGACCTGAAGTTCTGATCCACAAGGCAGTGGAGCAACGTCAGGAGATGCAGTCCCATGGAAACCGGTGATCAACAATTGGTTCATACGCCTTTTGTTCCTGCAGGATACTGGAGCCCATCTGCATCATTATAAATATATATTAAACAAATTGATCAATCATTAAATTAATTAAAATATATATATATATAACTTACACTGAATAAACTTCACATGGTTTTTTATTGACTTTACGATCTAATAAATATCTTCTAAAATCTTCATAGGCATCTTTAATAGCAACTATAATTAATGTAATTAATACTGGGATTGGTGCTATCTCTTTAGCGAATGCATCAATTTCTGGTATAAAATTTAATATTAATATAAATATAAAATAAATATTAGCAAAACGATGTAATTGTTCCCATAAATTATATGGTATAAATGTTAATAATGTATATTTAGTTGTTTTAATATAATTCAATGCAGATTTATAATGTATAGTAGTAGTAGTAGTATTATGTTTATCATATTGTATTAATGTACTTGGATATATTATACGTGGTGATAAATCATGTTTTCTTTGAAATAATCGACGATACATTTAATAAAGATAAATATTGAATTGAGTAGGATAGTTGGTGGTGGTGGTGGTGGTGTTGTTGTTGTTGTGCACAGTTGCCTTGGTTACAAATATTCATCCAATTGAAAATAATCTAAAATATAAAATAAGATTAGATGATATAAGTAAATATACTGATGACAATGATGGGTGTCTAGTATAGGGGGTGTGGAGATTATTAAATTGTGTTTTTTTTTATTGAGATCATGAACCGATTGATGTTAGACCACCTTTGGAAACATGGAAGCACTGGTATCCAATGGTGATAGTGTCTAACATCAACCAATTCATGAAATTGCGCGACCAACTTCAATTGTACTGAGGTAAATACCTGTCTCTACTCGACATGGATTAGCTTCAATGGTCACGGTTTCTCATTAGAACTCCACAACCCTATACTGATAATCTTACATGAATCATTGTGTATAATTTTTTTTTCTTAAATTACAGGAGTACTTTTAGTAAGTACACATTCCTAAGTTAAAATATGTCATTGAATTCAATTGTAAACTCCAGTAACATTACATAAATATAGAATTTAGATTGTTAAGTTATTCTAATCCATGATTTTAGAAGATAAACATAAAACTATTCTACAATTTACATTGAAGATGTTGTGGATGCAGAGGAATAGACCAATAATTATCATGTTAAGTCCAATGGTGTTCTTGGACTTTAAATGGATATTTTCTATTGGTCGATATCTGTTCACTTGTTGTATATTGTACAAAATGTTGTTTTCTATTTTATGGTACGATGTGGTATGCTTGATTGGTATATAAACAAAGTATGTTTGAAATATAATGATTCATATCTCAGAGGCTGTGACTTGTGTTCTGGGCTCAACTGACTGGGCTAGACAGGGAAGTGGGACCAATCGAGACTCTAGGCCGTCCGTACGTGTTTGCGTGTCACTGTAATCGATCGATAACACAGGGTAGAAATCGACCGCAACCTAAAGCCATAACAGAAGATTACTGAATTATCTAGAATTTCAAACAAAGATAACCCAGTGATATGTAATCTATTAGCTAAAATAAAAGAACATGAGTAGTTGTAATGTTTTAAGCAAAATTATAATAAAATGTATTGCATATTATTAAAAGTCACTTAAATGGTTCATAAACCAGGTTTATATTTATTATCAATATAGAGTTGAGGAGATTCTCAAGTTATTGATTGAGTTCTTCAACTGATTAATGTTAGACCATCATTGAAAACCTAGAAGCATTGGACAGCGGTTTCGTCCTATTGCAGGATTAATGATACGTTTATAGAAGAATATTGAATTGAGTAACTAACGTAAAAGATAATATCTATAAATGTATATACAGTAGTTCTGTATACTGAATAGATTCTTCCAAGATAATTTACTTGAATTTTATTTTAATGGATTAAATGTATTTATTTTTACGATAGTAAGTTAAACAGGGATACGGTTTGTTCTTAGCTGTTAAACATATCTCATGTAACTTGTGAGTAGTATTGTTGTAAATGAGAAGAAGATATATCAGGTCATAGATTAGCTCCTTGTATTCTGTAATTAGATCAGTTCAGTCACCCGTTGGATAGTATGAAAATAACTTTTGGATGCATTTACTTTGTGCTAAACTTCGTTTTTAGAGAGTCATACACGTAACGATTTTCAGAAATATTTCTTAAAAATTAGAATGACCTTTTAAAGTGATTTGTGGTCTACAAGCAGCTTTCCAGTTTGAACCTCATAAATGATAAATTTTAGTTTTCCTCTGATCTTTATAGTTTCATTTGGACGTAACTGCACTCCAGAGTTGATGTTCAAACCGGGATTTAAACCTAGTATCACTGGCTTCAAACGTAGCAATCAGCACAGGATGCACATATAACAAAAGAGATTGATCAACTACAGTCCTAAACACCCATGAGGAGATCTGAATTATCAATGTATCTTAATTAAAATCCACCCTATTACACGAGCCAGTGGCTCTCTGGATTCAGTCGCTAAGTGAATAAGGCGAAGAGCTTTGGGATCGAACGATATTGGTTTCTAGTCCGGAAGTGAACATCAATTATGGAGTATATATGCACTCCGTCTACCAGTCCTAAATAGAACAAAACAAGCGTTCTAGATCCCACTGCTGGCCACTATTTGTCATAAAATGTTTAACATATTGATTTGAATGAAATACAATTCATGAGTAGGAAGTAGGAATTTTGTGAGCATCGTCCATGCCTATATCGTCAAAATTCATCAGTCAGAATAGAACAAATAGATATAGTCTTGTCAGATTAACTAGCTTTATATATTTGAAACCTCTTCCATAAACTTGGAAGTGTTTAGTGTCATGATGTCTGTCAGTTCAAATTTAAAACTGAGAAAAAATGTGGTGAGACTATAATTTATGGACAACATTTGAGCGACATTAAAGTGACCATGAGAGTGTCCACCTAATAACTAGGACCAAATGAGGGTTATAAACCAGTGTGAGAAATTAGAAATATGATTTACATTTGATGGTTAGGGTTTTCATCACAAAATGACATCAGCTATAATGCCAAAAATCTATCTATCCAAATGGATGAGTGAATTTCGCCCCAAAGTCCGAGACCTGTTATCTTATACCTGACTGGTTCGTCTATAAATTATACTCTCGCCAAAAATGTTCTTATTATCAACACTTTCAATATATATAACTAATAGCGTTTCTGAACATACCTAATCTGATAGATCAAACCAATGATAAGGTGTTCAGATGGAGTAATGATAAGATTCAGTAGATTAGTTACATTCATTGAATGCAGTAGTTTAATTGTTATTGTAACATGAGTTCATACATGAATTTATTAAATAATTAGTGTCAGGTGCTACTCAGTTTAATTTACTGAAATTTGACCACTGATTGCTGTAATTCAAAACATACAAAGCACAGTGTATTCAAACACATAACAAGGTTTTTCCTACTTATAGCATACAACATTGAAACTTTTCAGTTAAATTTAAAATCAGTCAGTCAGTTAACAACAACTTAGGACCAGACACATATATGCATCGGTCCAAGTTGCCACACCTCCATTAGCACAACAACATGAACACCGGATTCATAGAAGCAGTTACTTCAATGGTAGCAATACATAAAAGAAAGATTGTGTATAAGGATATAGTACAGGGAGAAAGAATTAGTTGGTAGAAAGAAAGATATGAAGTGATTTTAGTCTCATGGTTTAAGGGAAGATAGAGAGTATATACACACCTACGCCATTGTGATTGATTCTGAGCCATGTCACACAGAGTCTACGACCATTAGTTACGATAGACACGTGAACCCCAACCAAGTAATCTTCATCTACTAACATGCCTCAGAACAAACGTTAGTGACTTTATGTACTGGTTCCACGTTTTGGTTTTGCCGCCCCTAACTTTCTTTCATTCGTCTCCAACACTAGTCAGCATTGTGTGTCGTGGTAATCGGTGTCCAGGCATACGTAACACGTGACCCAACTATCTTAGTCGATGAAGATTCACAACCTCACCAACTGATTTACCATCATTTCCTAATATCCTGCGTCCAACCTCACTGGTACTTGCCCGGTGTTCCCAACAGATACGAGCAATATTTCTAAGACATCTTTGATCAAATACTAGTAGCTTACGAATATCTTCTACTCTTAATGGCCACGTTTCGCTGCCGTAAAGTAGAACAGAACGGACTGCCGCGAATTATACTCGTCCCTTAATTGATAGACAGATATCTCACCTTCGTCATAGTATTGTATTTTAAATTTAAAAGATAAACTCATCAACAGCAGTATATCTAATACAAGAAAATAAGATCTTAATGCCTAACTTTATACAAGAGGAGCATTTTTAGAAACTATAACTTAACAGCTTGTTAGACCTCTCTAGTTAAATTGATAAATAGGGAATATAGGAATCTACTTTAAATGATCATGTACTCTGTATAAAACAATTTTTTTAATTTCTGAATTACTTTTGATCAAAAATCAATAAGATTATAAAAGATCAAAAGCAGATCATAGTAGTAGATCATAATCGGTCTAGAACATTAATTAGATGAACTATACATGTATTGATTGCTTGTTATGTACTCAGTTCAGTAATCCTGATTAAAAATCATTATGAATTTTCGGCGAGACTATAATTTATGGACAATTGCATAGCTTGTGTATCATCGTACAATAAGACAATATCATCCACATACTCAATGTCGAATAGTCTCTCCAGGTAACAGATCCGCTCAATCATTACCTACACTCATAAGAGCTGTTTCCTGAACAACATTGATGACAAAGTTGAAGAAAAATAGAGAGATTGGGCAACTCTATCTGTCTAACCCCACTGCTTCAATGAAAGAATAGAGACAGGTGGTTGTAGTCCCTCACTCCGCCTGTTCGAATATGACTTGTTGTTGCTGTTTTCCGCAAGTGATCAGTCTATTCTTCAACATATAAATCCAGAGTAGATTTCTTTGATATTGCTATGCAATCACAGGTACAGAATGAACAATGAATTACAGTCCTTAACAATAACAACGGGAAGATTCAAACACTTACAGATAATAAAAAAATATATCTGTTGTACAAATCAATAGTTATCACTATCCAGTAGCTAAGTAGATAACGTGGTGTTTTGAGCGAAAAATAATGGATTGGGGTTTCGGTGTAAATATTAATACTGAGTAAATGCAGACAACAAGCGCCAGATGAGACGAAATGCGCGTCATGAATTCCACTGCTAGCCACTAGTCAACGTTATTAAAATACTCCCATATTAGCAAAAACAACGCGTTGCGGTAGGAAGGAATAATAATTTATGCAAAGTGCGCGTCAGCATTTACGCGGCTACCTAGACACATGAACCTCTCGAAAACTTCCAACTGCTCATTACCAAGAGTGCGTGGAGGCACAGAGTGCTGACAGTCTTGTAAGAGCAATTTGTACTTGGAAGGTGCAAAGCAAACGCTATATCTACTATATCTACTTAAGAAGGAACCAGCAATGTAATATCATGAGAAGACAAAATGTTAGTGGGGTACATTTCTTAAAGATAAGAATACATTTTATGCTACATATAGATAGAAGGATTGTTTGAGCAGTGCGTAAGTGATCCTGTTCACTAGAATAATCAATAGGAGCTCATATGATAGAGTGAAGTAGAAAAAAGCGCATCAGTACTTTATTTGGCGTCTGCTTATATGTTTTTCGTCGAATAAACTGGGAAATGTTCAAAGAATATTGGCTCTTCCGGGGGAATTTCACCTGTTTACACTCCAAACGAACAACACCCACTTCAGTAAACCGATCATCTAAAATTATGAAGATTCGATTTCCATTGTTGTAAATACTTGATTTTTGTTTATCGTATCCGACTAATTACACAGTCGAGCAATATATTCCTGTAAGTTTGAGCATGTTTGGATCAAAGAAACAGAAACCAATTCTCTCAACTCAGTTTTCATCAAAGTTAGATAAGATATCAAATGAGTAGCAGAATATAGCCTAGCAGTTTAGTGTGTCAACAGGTATTTCGAAATCGACCGGTTGTTAAATTCATCCTATTATGAAGGCAGATTAAAAACAAGTGTGTGCTGGTAGTGTAGATTTGACGCATGGAGAAAAATATTACTATTTTAAAAGGCTACATGGGTCGCAATTATAACCTTTAAGTATATTCTACTTTTCGTCAATCTAAGTAGTGTTTATGATTGCATTTGGTACTCTACCGAATGTTCCATATACTTTGACAGAAAAATTCGAACGAAAAGTATTAGCCTTGAGCTCTTTTTAATGAGAACTCGGCTTTAAAACTAGGTTACACAACATTTACTGCGTCTAATTCTGATATACTCATGAGAGGACATAAAGTCTGAGCTGGTGATGAACAACAGTTTCATCTGTGGCATTATTCCTATCGCCTCAAAACCGTTGATCACATAAGTAGACCTAGAGTCAGTATATGTGAGTGATTATGGTGTTTCATGAATAAAGCGATTCTCAACAACTTATTTCGTGAAGCATGAGGGGTTCTTATACGTCATCATTCAGGCTATTGTACATCGATCATGTTTTGATGCTTCTAAAACTGATAAAACGAGTCCCTTGGTTTATACGCGACTTATTAAAACGAAACTAAACCGTGTTTAATTAATATAATCTAGTATATCTTAACATTGTGAATCAATTTCTAGAAGGCTTCGGGATTTTGCGACTTTATATCAACAGATATGATCCAGAATCAGAGCAAGTTATTACGGTTATGTATTTTCTCACTTAAAAGTATGAAAAAAAGGAGTCCTGCGAATTCATTTCATTTTGAATTTTGTTATTGTTTAATTCTTATCTCTTTTCATCTCCCCTGAAAGTGGTATAACACTGTTGAATATGATGCCTCCTTATTTCCATTATTTTGTTCTGAGTTTTTGTCTTTGTGTAGACAGTAATGAACAAATTTTGATAAATCGTACAGCTCAGCATTTTATTAATTTCCAAAACTTAATGGAATTGACTAAATAATTTAGGTATGTACCATACTCCAAATGTCAGAACTAATAATAACACCCAGTTACTCATACTAGAATAAGTAGGGAGGTGTTCTAACCTGTGACAGTGGCTGACAGCTGAACCCCTCAAGTACTAGACCACGGCTCCACTTTTAAAAACTATAATGACTACCGATAACTGCGAAACAGCTGATAAAGAGAACGTATTCCAATCTATAAATTATGCATTATTCCCACAAGAATTAATTAAAATTATTGATTGAAAAAAATGTGTGTATGTAACACCACTTACAGTTTGTGAGATTCTAACTTTTGTTTTTCAGCGCGCTTGCAGCAAACCGGAAGGTAAGATGTATAATTAGAAGGTTGAACGAACCTGGAAGAAATAAGAACAAGAGGAAAGAGTGACTCAACAACTTGATAAGGTAATGAGATGTAAATAAATTCAATAATAAGAGCGATCAAGATCAGTTAATGAATCAAGAGTAAAAAAACTTGTGGTCGAAACCTGGGGTGCACATATGGTGGGTCTTAAACTTTTTTTTGGAATTTCATGACTTGAAAGGGTATATAAACCTTTAAACATTTCATAAACCTTAATGCACTGAAAAATTAAGTTCAATACATAATCTCTTCGTGATCAGCAGTCCAAATCAGATGGTCTTCCAATTACTTGGGTGTTCATAGATGGTAATCCAGCTACCAAATTGCGCTGGTCCTAGTGAATTCTAAAGCTCATTTATAATTGATAGATTTTGAGCGTACGTCGTAGTGGTAAATAAATCCCGAGAAAATGTATTATAAGTCTTCAACATTAATAAATACCTGGTTAGTTTGACTGGAGACACCGTAGCTGAAAACATGCGGCCGTGTTCACATCAAATCACGAGTGGGTATGCCGTGCTACGTATCACTTGCAACTACTAGTCAGCTTAGATCAAACAATACTCAACTCAAAGACAACCTACCAAATATATCTTTGAACTCATTCATTCTTGAATTTTAATTTGGCCGGGTTGGTATCCTTCGAATAAAAAGGTGTTAGAGTAAAGGCGCTGTCGAACTCTTAACATCTGTGGCACCTTAGATGGTGAGCCCAACGTGCTTTAACACACCAAAGGATAAACTGTGGGTCTGCTCCTTGTCCTAACATTATATATCCTTTTTAAATTTTCGTTTCTACATGTCCTGATATGATTTTTGCATCCTCTGACCTTTTCTCACCCATTTATATATTTTATCCTCATTATGATGAGACAGACACCCGAATTGTTAAACATTAAGACTCATACGTCCCCCCTCCATCTCTCAACTCATGCCATTCTGGCCTGATAGCAGTGAAGCCTGGTTCTGCTACGCAAAAGCTGACTTCCACAAGCTCGGCGTTGTAGACCCACGTATGCAATTCCTCGCTGTACTGAAGACTGCCGCGCAATTTTAACAGATACGTCACACCTAGTATGTTTAGTGATGTATCGGAACGTTACGAAACTTTAACAAAAGCTACCCCTAAATTTGGAGACCTAACCGACCGACAAAGGTTAGACCAACTCTTTCACAACAGTGAACTGCAACATGGCTCACCAACAGAAATGTTGCTACGAATGCGAGAGGTCAATGATCGACGGACCTTCGATGAGGGCCAGTTTAGACATTTCTCGTTGTCTAAGCTTCCCTAAAAGGTGCAGGCAGCCAATGAGCAGCAACGATTGGCGTCCAACTAGTGATTATCGGCAATTTAGAACGAAAACCACTTCCTATCGTTACCCTTTGTCACACATCCACGACCAAACAGCCACTTCAAAAAGTACGAGTGTTTTCTAAAAAAATCGATCTGGTTGAAGCGTATAAATAAACTTCTATGGCTGCAGACGACATTCCTAAAACGGACCAAGAAGAGGTTTTTAGTAACCCTTCACTGAAACGTTAACAAGATATGACAATATGTATATTGACATATCCCAAGCCCCCAATTTTTAAGAAAATTTAGAGAAGCCGCCATAGAAACGTTTGTGGAAATGACACAAAAACCCTAAATTTCAAAAAAACGAAGATTTGGATCTCCATTAATGTATGTATTTAGCATATTGTGATATCCAAAACAAGTATTAACACTAAAAGTTGAAATTCCAGTATAAAAACAAGGGAATGATGAGAACAGCCATATTATGAATTTTACTTGAAAGCTCCCCTTAGAGTAACCATTAAAAACGCACTTCACTCAGTTATTAAATATCCCCTCGAGCGGTTGTAACTGATGGTGTGTAGAGAAGTCGAAATCCAATAGCACCAATCTGTGCCAGTAGGTTCAAGAAGCGCGCTAAACGCCAAAAGTAACGTACTCATCAAATAGTCACCAGATTAGGTTACTAATGAAAGTTTCAGTTTCATTTTTGTGAAGATAGGACAGTAAGACGTTTACATGAGTCTCACTTTAATCAAACTTTCTCATGAAGGCGTTGACAGATACAGCTTCAATCGTGTGTTGAACTAATGAGATTAAAAAAAACACATTTCAAAAAGTACAGTGATTTGGTGCTTGTGATAGCCTTCACTTTTGTAAAAATCTTGAATCGAAAAATCACCAAATAAAGACATTCATAGTGTTACTGTCCAGCAAATATTATGGTGTGGAGATAACGGTGAGATTATGATTCATGGACGACCTGTGGGCGATGCCGAAGTGACATTGAGTGTCTACCTACTTACTAGGGATAAATGAGAGTTATGAAGCAGTTTGAAGAATAAGGATTATGATTTACAATTGATGGTTAAGGTAAGGAATTAGAGTCACGATTTTTCATTGCTAACTGACTACAACTGTAATGCCAAGACGCTATTTATCTAAATGGATGAGTGAATTTCGTACCAAACCCTGAAACCTGATTAGTTTGTCAATAAATTATAGTCTCACCGAAAATTCATAATGATTTTTGATTAAGACTAATGAATTGAGTCCATAACAAGCTATCAATACATGTATAGCTCATTTAATTAATATCCAATCATTACATCTCCCGTGGAAATTGAAGACCCGGACAAAACCGTCACCGTTCCAAATAGTCCCGGTGTGTCTGTCCTGAGTTATAAAAACTGGACGGCAAGTCATTGGTGAACTTCCATTCTCAGTCGCAAACTATACTACCAAAGTCTGATATTGGTACGAATCCCACCCTCGTGTGACTGAGAATTTAATTTCATCGAATATTATTGTTAGTAATTCGCAAGAGTTAAACCGACCTGATAGTAAAACTAGATACGCGCATTATTTCTAAAAGCTCGTGGAACATACCCGTAGCATCTTACCGGACAACACTAAAGGAGTTCCTGTTAAGAAATTGATAAGGATAGGTACGAGGACCGACGACAGTTTTGAACCTCGACCATATAGACTCCTTAGGGTAATCTTAGGGTCGGCAAAGCACGTGATCTGTCAGGGTACACTCGTAGTCACGACGATACCGATATTCGAGTAAGACGTGATATGTCTCTTGAAGATGGAATAGAAAAGAAGACGGCACTAGCTGGACAAGAAACTCGTCGACATGATGTTGAGTAAAATTTCTGATTAGTGAATGTTCGAATTCTCAAGTATGGGAAGCGAACGTTACCATGGCCTGTGTGAATAGGCTGTTATATCTGGGATTTTTATATGCCAATGCTCGTAGTCTATGACGTAAATTTAATGAATTAGGAGCATTGGTGGATAATTTAAGGCCACTCGTTGTAGCTGTGACATAAACTTGGTAAGTCCATGGTTTCACCATTACTCCAGAATTATCCGAATGCCATAGACATAGATGTAAGAAAGTATGCCGCTAAGGCAGATTGGTCAGTTGACATTAGCTCATCATATGGAGAAGCATGGTCTATATTTAAAGGCAAGTTTAGTTCAGTTGCCTCCTCGTTTATACCATGCCTGGTACCACGTAGTTCGAAATACTGTCCACCATGGATAACTGAACAAGTCAATAGATTTCTTAGACGTGGGAAAAGATATTGGAATGTGTTCATCTGTACTGGCTTAGAGCAGTACAGACCCAGTCACTGTAAGACTAGGAATGCTCGTAAAGCGTTTGTAAGTAAGACTAGACAGTAATATGAAAAACAATGGGTATGTGATTATAAAAAATGGTCCGAAACAGTTATTCGCGTACCTGAAAAGGCAAACTCAGAGAAGTGATGGAATTCTATCATTTTTGGTACGAGAAAATCCGTCAATACTGGCAAGATATGGTGTCGAAAAATCTGTAGCTTTGTCGGAATATTTCAATGAAGTGTTTTCTATCAGTAATGAGGAACGACAAAAGATTCACTGTGATTGTGGCGGCTTGTTGTTGGACCCTGTAATTATTGAGGACACTGTTGCAAGACCACCTCGGTATCTTAAACCTGATAGGTCCAGTGGTCCTGATGATACTCATCCTATGATTATAAAAGCCCTATTTGATGTATTTGCTGAACCTATAGCCATACTGTCTGATAACCCTAATGAAAAAAATCATTTGGATGGCTGTTATAAACTATGTTGAAGGGAATAATCTTTTCTCCAAGGGACAACATGGTTTTCGGAGAGGCCTACCATGTCTGACAAACATGATAATTGCAAGAGAAGATTGAGCTGCGGCAAAAGATTGGAATATTCCTGTTGATGTGGTCTTCACAGATCTATGTAAAGCCTTTGATAAAGTCTTCCATTCAAGCATTAAATTAGAGCTGGAACGTTTTGGAATATATTACAAGGTTATAAACTGGGTAAGCGACCTCCTCCATGACAGGAGACACAGGGTAATGGTTAAAATAACTCTCATCCTGGGGAACTGTAAAAATTGGAGTTCTCCAAGGAGCAGTGCTCGATTTTCCTCTCCTTTTCCTTCATGTAGTTGATTCACCAACTGTGGAAGAGTTATCTGCTCTACTTCTCGCCGGCGACATAAAGATTCGGAGACCTATGCACAGTAAGTCAAGTAGAATAATATAACGGGATGATCCTAGCTCATTTGTGGCATGGTTGGACAGATGGTCACTAGAAGAAAAACCTAATGATACTGTAGTGATGCAATTAATTAATCATGATGATTCGTATCACTACACAATATGTGGATTCGTGTTACCCAAAGTAAGAAACTATAAAGATTTAGGAGTAATATTAAGCAGTGATCTCAAAACCACCAGTCACTGTAAGGCTGCTGCTGCTACAAAAGTCTATAGGGTGTTAGGGTGTATTTGCAGATCTTACCAGTATTTAAATGACGAAATGTTTAAATTATTGTACCCGATTTACGTGCAATTACAATCGGACTTTGTGATTCAAGCAGCGAGTTCTTGTTTCGAGTATAAAACAGATATGCTGGAAAGAGTCCAATGACAAGGTACTAAGATGGTAAAAGGTCTATCTGCCTATCTTGTGTAGACAGACTGAGACACCTCAACTTATTTCCATTATCTTACCGCAGAATACTATGCTGAACGATGACTTTGGCACTAATATGTCTTATCTTTTCCTTCCGTCCAGGACTCATCATTTGAGAAGCAAGTTAAAAAAACAAGATCAAATCGTCTACATCTGCAGTTTCATTTCTCGCACCAAGTAGTCAATTACTGGAATTCGCTATCAAAACGCGTAATATTAGCACCTTCTGTTGATATATTCAAAATGAGATTGGACACCCAGTGTTGAAAACTGCAAGGATTAATATAAGTGGACAGACCTCATGTCCTATCCTTATAACTGAAGACTGAAACCCAACGGAATCCGAATAACCCCACAGCAATTTAATTACGTAATAGCCGCCCCATGTTCGGCATTTCAAGGTCGGTTGAACAAAACGGCGGGCGTCTTTGTGTAAAATAGACTTCTGCCGTGCCACGTAGCCTAAGTGTTAACGAAGATGCCGCGCTACCCGCCGGATCGGTAATTTCATTTAATCTATATTATAAACTGCCTTCTTATTTGACAACATTTAAGTCTGTCTAGTAATTTTACAACAGTTCGTGGTACTTTGAGTAAACAGATTTCAATTGTACACATTGCTAGACTGCTTGTTTTATAATCGTTCATTTTTTAACGATATCTTTATAATCTTACATCCTTTTTTAGTTGGTTTGATTATACCTCATTGGGCGTCCCGGTTAAAGGGACGCGTTTGCTTCCGATAAAACTACCTATACCATCAGAAAAGTCCAGCAATATTCCTTTTCATTTAAGGTAAGAGTGTGCTTGTTTCAGTAAACACTGTTCAGATTTACACTAGGTGACCTTATTAACTGTGTTGAATCATACGACCAAAAATTGACGTGTGTCATAGATTTGACATATGCAAACTATTATTCGCCAAAGGTAACTTTCCTCGTTATTTACCTCCCCAGTTCCTTCATGATAATAATATAAGTTACCATAAGATATATGTGGAAGGACATACAATCCCAAATTCGAAAACTGTTGAACAGCAAGTTCTTATTAAGTTCAGAATCGAATTTTATAGGTTCATCAATATGGTTAACAAGGAACGTAAACAATCTCCAGGTTAGCTGTTATTTCTTTATGCAACCTTAAATTGTTGTTTTCCTGTGATATATTAGATTTGAAATAAGTCATTGTGTTTGGATTTAGTTTAAATTCAGTCTTTCATAATATCTTACTTCGTTTCTTTTTTTCGACTACAAAATATCTGCATCTCGTCTCAAGATTTTCCTACTTGTCGGTACTAATAACGTCTAAGGTTTGTTCCTCTTTTCCGTACCTGCCAAAGCCTATCCTCCCATTTTGTTTTGTCAAAGTCTACAATAAGTCGGTCACTCAAACAGTTCAAAAAGCCTCATTCACCACATAAATGATTGCAGGACTATCATTCTACGGTGAGACTATAATTTATGGAAAACCTTTGAGCAGCACTACTGTGACTGACTGAGTCTCGCTGTTGGGTGTTAATGTCTGAAGTCTTGCCTTATCCCGGCGCTCCTCGTTTGTCAATTATAAAGGTATTAATATTTTCCTGTTAACCGGATTGCCTGTTAATTGAGTTGTGTTGTGTTGGATTTCAGTTTGCTGAGTAAATATTTTATGATCAATTCTTCCTCATCTATCTACAGGTCCCTTGGGAACTATCTGTGATCATTTGTGTGAATGCGTGCCTGAAACATTCGCTCGATTACTTATCTTACAAGATCCTACAGTTTCACCCCGGTTCTATCTAAACGTTCTCGAGTAGAGACATCAGGTATGGCTCAGAATAGAAGCCAGTGGCGATCCTGTTGTAACCTTTTACTTTCTTCATAAAAAGTGGTTGCTTCTTCCTTAACTGAAAGATCTCTTCTGAGTGTACGTTTCTGGTTCCCCCATTATTATTATCACTACACTACCTTACACTAATCTGTTCGTTATCGTTTTTTACGCTCCTTACCTTTTTTTCCTTCTCTTCAAATTCTCATTGTTTTATGTGGCGCATATATATTTGGTGCCCTCCTGTACCAATATGTGTTCAAATTAATAAATAAATGACCTCGCAAAGTTCTGATATCGTAGCTTTTCTGATCGACTAGTCTGATATAATTTTCCCCCGTTTCCGTTCCAAATAATTAAGTGTACTTTAAAAACTAGCTTCTTTCATTTCATGTTATTTAGAACACTCCCGTTAAATGTATCATTGTTTATCATTTTACCATAGCTGTTATGAATACTCAACTACTTATCTACATTTTCGAGTATATTCTCATAAATCTGAGTGCTATTAATGTTCTAATTTTTGTGTTCTTAGATGGCATAATTGCTGTACACTGCACACATGGCGTAAACCGAACGGGTTATTTAATATGCAGGTAATGTTCGCTACCATACTACCTATTAGTCTCAAGATATCTTATCGATTTTATGAATATAAATCCTAAAGATGCTCTTAGAGGTAAGTGCTTTTGTCATGGGAAACAGTTCACTGTTTTGTAGAATTCGAATGGGCACGTGGTCATCCTGTCGAAAGAGAAAATTATGTTGAAGATTTGTTGAATTCTGTCAGTAAATTAGAGGTCACAAACGTTGAAAACAATAGAAGTGCGTGAATAAATGTACATTAGTGTCATTATTTTATTTAATGCTTTAAAAGTAATATCCAAGCACTCAGAACCTTTATGATACTCCTAAAGCTACTACATGTTTTGTTGTGAGATAAGGTATTAAACAGCTATTTTCTCTATTCATTGCCTTTCATAAATTACGATGCAGAAAAACTTGGTATTATTGTAAAGGAATAAAATCATTACTGCGGCTAATAAAATTACTTCGCAGAAATGCGAAATAATATTTTTGATAAACATTTTGTTTAATCGTTGAGTGCCGAGGCTCCGAACAATGTAGATAGTTGCTACAATAGATGATAATTACGAGTACATTGAAATCGACAATAAAAATATTTTTATTTAATCTTGGCTCTAGTATCCTAAAGGAACAAATGGCATATGAACCAACCTTTGGTCACCGGCTACCGTGGGTCTGCATCTCCTAAAGTTGCTCCACTGCCTTGTGGATTAGACCTGTATATCAAATGCTCGATGTGTGACCTAAGATGTCTACACAGTGACCTAGAGGCTATGAGTTATCTATCCAACCCTTAGTTGGATATCTGATAGGTCCCATGCCAAGACGAAACAGCTGTTCATTGCTTTCTTGTTTTCACTAAATATCAGTCACATCGCCTAACCATTACACTTGATCCTGTATATGTTTAGAGACGTACTCTGATAAAAATCACTTTCAAGTTCAACAGAGACATCAGATAAATTTTACTAAAAGAATGTGTCAATTTCTAACGAAAAGAGTGAATCAACCAATAATATTTGACCTAAACGTCCATTTATTAAGAATCATTTAATCCGAGATTAATTATTACTCTGATACTCTTTATTTAACTGCTAATCCTGAAATTGTACCAGTTGCATAGACATGGTTAACCCTTGTTACTGATTCATTTCGTTGTCTCTGCTACCGTAAAGTATATGTGCGTTTATTATCCTTTTTTAATTGACGATCTTTCGTTTTTGTACTAATTGTTTTGATTTATATTTTATAAACAGACTATAATTGTTTGCAATATATAAAGTTAGACCAACCGTAGCTGCTACCTTGACGCGGTGGTCGGGCTTGCCTATCGTGATGACCCAACCCAGCTATATTGGCTTGAACATATGTTCCTGTAGGTTCTACCATGTCAGGCAGGTCGATTGGAGAACGGTAAGACTAAAAGCAGCAACTCAAGGTCTGAGGGCGAAGTCGTACTGCTGACTGTAGAGGGGTGTGACAGCAGTAAGGTGTTTCCCTCGGGCAACCAGCATCTGCAGCGATGCTGCCTTCCCACAAAGAGGGGTGGAGTTAGAAAAGATCGATCCTAAAAATGTCTCACCTTACCTCACGGATTTCCGTCTCCGGCGGTAAGGCCCTTTGAAGAACGGAGCTAACGCATTAAAAACCTTCCACGAAAAGGCCGTGCGCGACCGGCCTCAAGCAGTTGTCCCTTCGGCTCTGCGGTCACGCTCCCACGCCGTTAAGGCCGACATTAATCCAATGTCCTTTACAGGTTCCTCAAGAAATACCCTTCCACGGTGTGGGCAGCCGGGAAGTGATATCAGCCCTCATACCCGTAACAGCACACGAGACCAAGTTGGTCACATTCAAATTCTTCCTACACCTCCTAATACCTCTCTTATCTCCCCGACTAACCCTTCTCACGTCTTTTTTTCCACCTCGCACCGCTAGGGCAAACGATTCGAGTACGCGGAACGTTATTCCTGGTCTCCTGAAACCACGCTCTAAACTACATGTAGACGTTTTAACGTACGAACACTGTGCCAAATAAGACAGCAGGCTTCCTTAGCTAGGACTTTAGAATCCCGCGCCATCGATGTGTGCTGCGTCTCCGAAACGCGCATACAGGATCCGAGTAGCGTCATTCATCTGACCTCACCATGCCAAAATAAAGAACCAACTCGATTCACACTTCGTGTATCTGGAAGCCCTGATTCTGCTTCCCGTGGCCTCGCCGGCGTAGGTATAGCATTGAGTCCTAGGGCAGAACTAGCTCTCTTAGACTGGATCCCAGTAGACAGTCGTTTGTGCGCTGTCCGACTAAACGGAACAATAAGGACTCGGAAAGATAGGGAGACTCGTCGTTGCCTCTTCGTCGTCTCTGCCTATTCTCCCACTGACTGCAGCTCAGATGATGTAAAAGATAAGTTTCACAGAAAGCTTTCCGACCTTCTCCGAAAAGCTAGGCGCTCTGATATAGTAATAGTGGCTGGTGACTTTAATGCTCAAGTAGGTAAACTAAGCGAAAGGGAAAGACACCTAGGTGGATCTTATGGTGTCGTGGCTCAAAGAACAGATAATGGCGACCGTCTGTTGCAGCTATGCTCAGATAACCGCCTGTTCCTTGCAAATATTAACTTTAAGCATAAGGAAAAACATCTTTTAACATGGTGACCCATAATTCGTCCCAACGTTGGACCGAACTAAATCATATCGCTATCAGCCACCGATGGAGGGGCTCGATAGAAGACTGTCGCTCATTCTGGAGCACATGTTTAGATTCAGATCATGCTCTAGTGCGAGCGCGTATTTGCCTGGGTCTTACTGGAGGTAAGAAAGACGCTGCAAGGAAACCTCTTAGGGTCCTGTTTAATGATAGTCAAACTAGAACTATATTTCAGGAACAACCAGAAAAACACTTAGGCAGTCATGTAGGTGATGCCCACCCCGAGGCAGCATGGAATGATATCCGAAAAGCTGTGGAAACGGCAGTGATATCTGCTAGTAAGGTAAACCACAAGATTAGGGAGAAACACTGGATCTCAGCAGTATCTATCGCACTCATTCCACCTGGCTCTGAACATAATGAAGAGCGGAGTCAGCTTGAGCGCAAGCTGGCAAGAAGTCTACGCAATGATCGTGAACAATGGTGGGTAGCGAAAGCAAGAGAGATGGAAAAGGCAGCGGCAATAGGTAATAGCAGACAATTGTTCAGACTTGTTAAGGAAACCGACTGTTAGAGAAACAATCTCAGAGAAAGATGGACATATTATACATTCTCAATCCAGGAGATTGGATCGATGGGCAGAACACTTTAGGGATCAGTTCAACTGGCCTTCAGCCACACTTCGGTTTCCCACAATCTCTAGTCAACCTGAATGGCAAGTTAATGTAGGTCCTCCGTCCCTTTACGAAGTTGAAAAAGCCATAGGAAATCTGAAACGAGGGAGAGCAGCAGGCCCTGACAGGTTCACTCCTGAGAGTTTTAGGGATGGTGGTCCAGTATTAGCAGTGAGATTAACTGAAGTCCTAGGTAGAATTTGGGAACTGGACGTAATCCCATCTGACTGGTCTCAATCACTGATTGTGCCAGTCTATAAGAAAAGACAAAAATCCTCTTGTGACAATCACAGAGGAATCAGTTTGACTAATATAGTGTCTAAAATATTAGCTTCAATAATACTTGGACGCCTAACCAAAGCTCGTGAAGAGCAGATTAGAGAAAACCAGGCCGATTTTCGACCTGGATGTGGTTGTATAGACCAGATATTCACACTACGTCAGGTTATAAAACACAGACACACGTTCAAACGCCCCACAATGGTAGTACTTCTCGACCTTAAGGCGGCATTGGACTCTGTTGATCGTGAGGTTCTACGGCAGTGTTTTTCACTAAAAGGAGTACCAACGAAGTACATTAACCTTATTCAGGCTCTCTACTCGAACACAACTGGTCGAGTGAGAGCGTATGGCGAACTGTCATCAGAATTGATTACCTGGAGTGGTGTTCGTCAGGGCTGCCCACTCTCTCCATTCTTGTTTAACTTTGTCATTGACGTACTTTTAGAGATAACACTTTCCTCATCTAAATTTCCAGGGGTTGAACTCCTACCAGGAGATTCACTTGTTGTCTTGGAATATGCCGATGACATAGTTTTATTTGGTGAAGATGCTGACAAAATGCAGAGTCTTCTGACCACTTTAAGCAACAATGCAAGCATGTTCGGGATGCGGTTCTCCCCCTCGAAATGCAAAATGTTGCTTCAGGATTGGGTTGCATCGACAGTCGAATTAATGATGGGGAGTGAAATAGTTGAGCGTGTCGACCGCTTCACTTATCTGGGAAGTCTCATCAGCCATTGTGGTCTGGTGTCTGACGAAATCTCAGCACGGATACAGAAGGCTCGACTAGCTTTTGCCAACTTCCGTCATTTATGGCGTAGGCGAGATATCCGTCTATCAACCAATGGACGTGTTTACTGTGCAGCAGTTCGTTCCGTCCTACTTTATGGCAGTGAAACGTGGCTGGTGAGAGTAGAGGATATTCGTAGGTTACTAGTATTTGATCATAGGTGTCTTCGAGAACATTGCTCGTATATCCTGGGACCATCGAGTAAGTAACGCGGTTGTTAGGAAACGGGTACTAGGTAAGGATGACAAATCAATTGATGAGGCAGTGAAACTTGATCTGTTGAAATGGCTGGGACACGTGTTACGTATGCCCAACGACTGACTGCCTCGACGTGCTATGATTTACGGTGTAGGTTGGAGGAAAGCTAAGGGCGGCCAGACCAAAACATGGCACTAGTCCATGAAGTCACTAACAAGTGAACTGAGTCATGTTGGTAGGTGTAGACTACCTGGTTGGGGACCGCGAGATGATAGCAACCGATGGTTAGAGACCCTGAATGATATGGCTCAAAATCGTTTGCAATGGCTCAGGTGCATCCACTCTTTATGTTCTCCCAAATTTTAATCTTCTGATTCCTCCATGTCTCTTTTTTCTCTTCCCAAATTTATTTCACTGGATTATACTCTTTAAATAACATCTCCAAACCCTAATCTTCCCGATTACTGCTTATATTCTTGCTACCTTTACCACTACTGGATTTGAATCGACAACTGTATCTCTGTGCTAATGTGGTATGGCAACTCGAACTGATGTACGTACGTACGAAGTTCTACGTTGTTACTGACTGACTGAAAGTTAGTTGTTTTGACTATAGCCATGCTTAGACTGTGCGACGTATTCAAGAAATTCACCAGTAGGTTTTTACTTCTAACAGAATGTTCGGCAGTGACTTTGGAACCAACCTTTATAAAAGCACTTACTACTTGTTTCCACCATCTTTGTGAACTTATGTTACATCCACTTTTCGTCCTCTTGATTTCGTTATTAAAATGGATAATAGGATGAAGGAAGCAGCATTCAAAGACTGACTACATTTTCTTGAGATGGGTGTTGAATAGATAAAAAATGACACGGTACGATGTTTCGTAACTTATCACATCTCAGGAACACTTTTATGCTCTAAGGCACGTTAATCGTTCACTGTAGAAGAGTGACGAAAAACTGATTGAATCATATGTTGAATTTAACATTTGTCCGGCGATAAAAATGTTTCTTGACATCCAACCGGCATTTATCGGTGGCTTGATGTGAATATCCCCTCCTGAAAGACATCAGGTGTATTGTTTTTGGAACAAAATGAAAACTGCCTGAATGTTTTGAGAGCTTTGTTAGGGAAAGTTTTCGCAAGAGACTCACGTCGAAGGCTCGTTGGACAGTAACACCTTTTATGCGTTGCCACGTGTTTTTTTCCAGAACATGTACTAACTTTGAACTATAAAGTGTGTCATTAAAACTTTTGGGCTCAGTCAGGTCCCTACGTTAAATAATAACTAGTTTCGGGTTTCGTGGGGCCCTGAGAAATCGCTAATAAACATACCTATTATGTTCGCGCGGCATCGACTCCTTGTTACCATGCGAGAGTTCTATCCGTTATGGATTGTTGGGTGAAGGGTCATGGTCCTTATAACTTTAACTGTGCTTAGACATGATAACAGCGATATACACAAATATCCAAAACAAATTCGATATAAGAGAAAAAACGAGCATATACAAAAATGTATTTAACGTTACGACAGTCTCACCGCAGACTCATAATATACCGGTTAGTTTACCGGATCACAGATGTTCATCAACCTAGAGGGTTAGGACACGCGGAATAGGAAAAATTCCCCCCAACATTCTTTTTATGCAATGATCTGTAAGTCAATAAAACCAGAAGTCTATAGGGACCAAGCGTAAACGTATATTTGCATTGTGT